TTCAAATCGCAGAACGCTGATCAGGCAGTATTGGCTCCTAGGTGAGGACACTGCATTAACAGTTCCACACAGAGACTTTATGCACCTCTTCCCACTTGCCTGAGGGACCTGAAGTGATGAGCTCATCCAGCCTGCACTGTCCAAGCCATCCTGGTCAGGCGTCATCAGATTTTCACATCGTATTTCTTCACGGACAAGGCTTTGTCCAACTCTCTCGGAGTCAATCTGCCCATCTGTTTTCTCCTCTGAAACACCAGCCAGGCTTTGGCCATGGTCTATCTAAGCAAGTTTATTGTCCTCCTAGAAGCAAATTCCTGGTGTTTCATCTCCTCCAGAATTTCGGCGTGTGCGTTGAGTGTGGCCTTCAGCACTCTGTGGTGGTGTGGTCCTACACTTGGGTCTGGGGCTGGTGGGAAAACACCACTTCCATCTTTCCTAATACCTGTTGTGATTTCCTGTGGTCAGAGGGAGGGATCTGCATGGAGACTTATATTTGGGAAGCAGTGTGCCTCATACTGAGTTGGAGTTTTCTACATTGGGAAGTGTGGATGCCAAAATGTAGAAACTAACTGCCTCTGAGGAGTTTGGTGAGGAGGCATAAGTAGCTATTATTTGAAAACTTTAAAGTATAAAGCACTATACAGTTGTAAATTACTAGTATTAAGAACTTCAAATATCTTAACCAAGCAGTGTGATACAGTAGGAAAACGAAGTCTTTGGTTATTGATACAATTCACTGGGCATTGCTTGGCAGCTTTGTCTTTGCTTCTTCAAACTTCAGGTCATTCTGTAGAATGGAAATGATAGTCTGCTCTCCAGAAAGATTTCTGAGATTTAAATTCAGTGTAGCACATTAAACACCTACTATGCAGTCCCTGGTACAGAGTAAGACCTCAAAAATTTGTCACTACGGATAGAAATCTCTTGGTACTTGGTAGATTTCCAATGAATACTGGTTCTAGAAAGTTTAGTTATTTTGTAGACAGTCATAGGTCTAGATCTGGCAATAAACATGCTGTATCAGTAGTAAAAATATTTTCTCTTAGTTTTGTTTTGTTTTTTTTTGTACCGTGTATTAAACTCCAGTCCTGGGGCTTGCGAGGAAGGTGACAGAACCACTGAGCTAAATCCCCGGCCTGTCTTAATTTGATTATGACATATATTGGAATTCTTGGTGGGGTTTGGAGTGGGTCACCGTGGGGTCTGCGGTACTGCAGAGGTTTCCTCTGAACGCCTGTTCAGTTACCAGTTTTAGTTCCCAGATCCCTGTGCCACAGTGAGTGGGCTCTGTCTCCACGACTTGGCTCTCACAGCCAGCCCCCATCTCGGAGGGTCCTTAGCCTGATTCTCAGATGGGGGCTTTTTCAGTACCCTTCCCTCTTTCCTTCATTGAATCCAAACTCTGCCTTTTATACATGAAAATGTATAAATGATGAGGAGAAATGCTTTTGCCTTTTCTTGCATATTAGAAAATTGTGCTTTGATTGTTGCAGGATCTCAGTTCAGAGGAATTCCTACCCCTTTCCTTGAGGCAGATGTGTGTTTCTCGCACTCTTTTGCCAGAACCATACATGAACCATTGCTTGTTCCAGGTGGTAGGATAATTTCTTGACTCTCCTCATCAGATTAAGACTTTTCTTCATAGAAGAAAAGGGGTTGGGGACATAGGCAGGATTTCATGCCTGTTCACCAGGACCATTGATTTCCACGTGCACCCTATATACATCCATGCCACCAAAACCTCTTGTTTCCTGCTCCACCCTTTTGCAGTTTACTAAACTGTTAATTTAGCCCAGGTATTCTAAACTGTTGAATTTGCCCCCTAAATTTTATGTGTATCTTCTCTTGCCTGTTATTCCAGTCCACTTCTTCAATGAATGGTGCAAGGTGAGACAGTTTGTGCATCTTTTTTCCCCTCCAAGGGGCTTATCAGTGTTTGGAATTCAGATCATATAGTTGCCTAGTGGCTTCAGGT